CAGTTTTTCTGTAAAGTTGATAGTATTTGAGTCAAAAATTATTTAAGATCAATATTTGGCAATTTTTATTAATTAACATCTTGTTAACTATTGCGAAGATTGCAAAATGGACTTTTCGACTCAGTTTCCACTCTATCTATACAAAAGCGATTGGCAAAAACTTGCGGGACACCCTGTATATTAATCGATGAAGAGGGAGAGAGACACTCAAAGTATGAAACAAAAGATTTTAATTGATTTGACAAAGAGGCTGCGGTTCAGAATTTTTAACCGTAACGTTTTCATCTCTCGTTTCAGTACGTTTTCTTGTATAATGGTATCAACAGGCATGACATATACACTTCTCAATAAAATTAAAGGATCACTTGTTTCACCTTGCTAAAATAGGCAAATTTCGAGATAGAATAATTTTGTCAAAAATTATCGTATCGAGATTTTTAAAAAAGCATTTTAAAGTTAAAATCTCTACTTTTCAAGCATGTACTTTAAAAAACCGTATTACTCATATTTCATAAAGTTATACAAACATAAATAAAGATGCATCAGATCTCAAAATTTTTTACGAAATTTGCGAAGTTTCACAGAGCCAAGTAAAAATTGTACACAAATGTGGTTTACATCTTTCGAAAGAGTGAATCTTTATCTTCGATTTCTTTTTTTATAAAGCTTGATACGATTTTTCTTCACTGGGTTATTTAATGTCGAAGCAAAAAGGGTTGTTTTTGCTTCAACGTTAAATAACTCGGTGAAAAAAAATCGTATAGAGCTCAACAAAAAAGCAAATTAAAGGTAAAGATTCACTTTTTCGAAAGCTGTAAACTGCATTTGTGCACAATTTTTACTTGGCTCCGTGGAACTTCGCAAATTTTGTAAAAAATTTTGAGATCTAATGCATCTTCATTTACGTTTGTGTAACTTTATGAAATATGAACAATACGGTTTTTTAAAAAGTACAGGTTTGAAAAGTAGAGATTTCAAGCTTTAAAATGCTTTTTTAAAAATCTCGATATGATGCTTTTTTAATAATCTCTTCTATCTTAAAGTTTGCCTGCTGCTTCTCAACAAAATTAAAGTTATTTAAAATTGGCGTTAATAAAACCAAATTCGAATTTCACATATCCCCGCGAAGAATGGTCGCGGAGCGGTATTCGAAAAAGCATTTTAAAGCCATAACAAATTTTTTTAATTGTAAATTAAGTTTAACACTTTCTCTTTAAAATGGTTATTAATCACACGCACACACACACACACACACACACACACACACACACACACACAACAATTTTTTTTACTGAATGACAATTTTTTTTACTGAGTGATTTACAATTAAAGTTTTTTTATTGAGCTCTGTACGATTTTTTTTCACCGAGTTATTCAACGTTGAAGCAAAAACGACCCTTTTGCTTCGACGTTGAATAACTCGGTGAAAAAAAATCGTACGAAGCTTTATAAAAAAAGAAACTGAAGGTAAAAATTCACTCTTTCGAAAGATGTAAACCGCATTTGTGTACAATTTTTACTTGGCTCCGTGGAACTTCGCAAAGTTCGTAAAAAATTTTGTGATCTGATGCATCTTCATTTATGTTTGTGTAACTTTGTGAAATATGAGTAATACGGTTTTTTAAAGTACAGGTTTAAAAAGTAGAGATTTCAAGTTTTAAAATGTTTTTTTAAAAATCTTGACACAATGATTTTTGACGAAGTTATTCTATCTCGAAGTTTGCCTATTTTTGCAGGGTGGAACAAGTGATCCTTTAATTTGTTGAGTAGTGTATATTTAAATGTGTTTTGAGTGGGGCTCTTGTGGAACTACTAGGCTCTTGTTCCAAGAAATCTAGCACTTGATCCCCAGCCAACAAATGTTTATTGTGACTGATTTTTTAAATATTTTCCATATTGCCCTTAGTGGATCTCATCGCGATCAGTAGCTGCTTCGGGGTGATCTCGTACCAAAGACTGGTTCACCCCAATTGGTACATTCGCCGCTTGTCCATCTTTTCCTCCAGAGCGAACTCCAGAGACATCGCCGTCATTACAAGCAAATCCGAATTTCTGTGACATGACGGCATGAATCGCGACCAAGGATTTAGCCAGATTAATGAACTGTATCAAATACATTTTAAATATTACTTCAATGTCTTTGGTATAATCCGTTATCGCGGGGAGGTGTTCTGGACGCAGAGAAATTGGATAAGACTAGTAGTACATGGTCATAATAGCGAACTGTGGATAGTTCTAGCACTCAGGAAACCTCTCCTATAAAGTTGGGTTTATGGAATTTTTGATTCTCTTTTGATACCTTAAAATTTTGGGCATGTCTCAAAGTTATTTATCCGGGGCCCAAATTCCCCTAAAACTGGACATAATCCTTTGCTTTGACAATTCGCTCATTTTCATTTTCAATTAAACATCATTTAATTATTTTTGTCTTCGTTAATTACACTGTGTGACTGATTTCAACTTTTAAAATTTTCCAAAGGGCGGATGGATTGTGTCGGGGACATGGCCCACTATCATTTCCCCAAAGGATTTGGAAAAGTTAGATCGTATAAGAATGGGGTATATAAATTTAAAGTTATTAATTTTTAGGAGTACCAGTAGAGCTATTCTTAAGGTTTTGAGATAAAATATTATCACAAATACACGCACATACATACACAAGCACGGCACTCACACTTATGCGCGTAAGCGCGAACTTTGTTTTGCAAGAGATAGCATTATGATATGTGTTCATTTTATATCAGGCACCAGTATTACTTTGTAACGCGTTATATAAACATAAGAATGTTGGATTGTATCGAAAAAACAAAAAATCGATTCATTTTGTTACGTGTGCGGTACACTAAACCAAAAATGTACGTAAATATAATAATAGTATTCATTGGCATTAATAAAAAATTCATTAAAATTGGTCCAATAAACAATTTTATTCCTATAATGATTTAGGTTTTATAAAATGATCAATTTGAGTTATTAAACTATTAAGAATTCATTGTGACAATAAATATATACATTAAAATAGTCTGCCATGGATTTATTGTAATAACCAAAAACTTTATTCATTCAATGAATAATATCATTAAATCATGCATTAAACTTTATTGTTATTAATGCGTTTATTGAGCTAATGTACAGGCTTTATTAACTAATAAAAAAATGCGTTAATATAATGAATGTATTTTATCACTTCTACAAAATTTTATAATAGACATCTAATAAATGAATTTATTAAGTATATGAACATATTTGTTGGAAGAATGAACTTTTTCATTGATTTAATTAAATGTTATATTAAGTTATGATATATTCAAGTACAGCATATTAATAAACAGTGATTTGTTATATTAATAAATCCAGTTATTAGCTAATAAAAAATACTCAATAAAATATTCATAATATCTATTAAAAGTTCATTATATCAATGAATTTAAAGTCAGTAAATGTCATTCATTGATATTATGAATAACATTTTTTTCAGTGTACATTTGCTGTACGAGAACGTAAAAGGATTATGACTGAAATTATTGAGGAAGCATACAAATTTTATTTTGGTGTCAGCGTGTATAGAAATGTGCCGTGGGCACCAAAATTTACTTGCAGAACGTGCTTGATCGCTCTAAAAGCATGGTGGGATAGAAAACGCATTTCTTTACCATTTGCTGTGCCAATGTTATGGTCAGAAATAGAAAAGCATACTGAAGATTGTTATGCTTGTGCTAATGACATATACAAAGTGCGTTTGAACAGAAAAAAAAGCAAAGCATTTGTGTACAAAAATGTTTCAAGTGCCACACGGCCAATTGCGCATTCCGATCAGTATTCAGTTCCGACGTGTCCGAGCCCAAGTAAAAGCACTGCAACCATTTTGACAAATTTAACCGCTGATACTAGTGGCACTAGTGTACACACCAAACGATAAGTCAACGTTACCGTCATTTGTTGGACAACAACGTTTAGATACAATTGTGCGAAAATTACATCTATCTCAGCGACAATTGGAAATATACTCATTTCAGAATTGAAAAAAGACCATGTCGTCGCGTCTGTCTTTAAAGTGAAACGCTATCGAAAGTATCAAGAAGAATTTTTGGAATATTTCACTTTGACTGAAGATGGAAAATGTATGTACTCTAACAATATCGAAGGACTAGTCAAGAGATTGAATGGCATATACAATGCAGATCAGTGGCGTCTTTTCATTGACTCATCGAAACGCAGCCTTAAAGCTATTATATTGTATTTTGACAATCAACAAACATTCTGTTCCTTTGCTATATGAAATCGAAATGAAGGAAACATATGAGACAATGCAATTTATTTTGGAAAAGATTAGCTATAAAGGTCATTTGTGGCGTGTCTTGTGCAACTTGAAAGTAGTAGCTCTAGGCGTGTAGCTTGGTTACACGAAACTTGCTGTTTCGATTGCATGTGGGACAGCAGATATGTAGGCTGAGTTCGTTCGGGGTGATCCCGAACAGCTTTCAACCAGATAAAACGAACAATACTGGGTGCTTTCCAATTGCAATATCCCTAGATACTTTTGTGCACACCGCGACACAAGTTGCGTCCCAATTGTCCGTTATCGTCGACACAATACTACACATCTGTACTCAGTCGAGAACTGTGTAAGCTAGTATTTTTTAGTGACAATTACATGTTACTAACTGCGGCGGCTATAAATGAGGTTGGAAGATGTTGAGTGGCCGGTATTTTTGCTTTTTTTTTTAAATACAGGCGAAAAAAGCTACATTTAATCTAACTCTATCCGAAACGGATCTCACTCGTGCACAGCGTACACATTCTGTTCCAATCGAATCATGCACAATGTTACACTTTGTGTATTCCTGTGTACGTTTATGTTAAGATGTGTTAAGCAATTGGAAAGCACTCACTATGGTGTGTGCAGTTAATAATATTATAGAGTTAAAAATATATGTAAGTTCGTTACTTAATGAATTTATTATTATTTGTATAAGTAATATTTTTTATCGCTATAATAAATATATACTATTAAAAAGTTTAGTTAAATATTGTCAATATTTAACTAAACTATATTGAACAACTAATAACCGTAAATTAATCAACAATTATTGGCAACAAAAATTAAGATCTTGTCCGACAATTTCAGAAGGCAACCATGGTTTATAAACGTGTCCATCGGCTTTTTTGCCAGCCATATACGTGAAAAAAGTTCTTTTGAATGACGCAGAAGGAAATTTTCCATGTTCCATGGTACTCCACATCATACGAGCATAAGAAACGCGTGTCTTACGTACTTCACTGTGGAATATCTCTTTGATCTTTTCAATCTTGAGAGAAATACAGATTATAAAAAAATTAATTATTATAAAATAAAATATAAAGAGAATTACTTTAAAACTTAAATGTTTTAGAAATTAATATCGACAGTTACCTATTAAAGATATAAAAGAAAGAAAATTAAAAAATCAAGGTACGTTACAGATTTAATGTATATATGTGACTTTTGTATTTAAATTTGCAAGTGATGGCAATTTGATAAACTACCTTTTTCTTGATTCTCTCGGCTTGGTTGAAGGTCAATCTCTTCAACTGATGTTTCGTCATATGCAATGATGGTTTCTCGATTTCCATAGGCATTTTTCTAGTTGTTATGTCCCAAATGGTACGGGTCTCTTCCATCAAATTTTCTAATAAGGAAAAAAAATTAAGTAAATAAAAAATAAATTAACAATAATAATAAAATAATAACTAAATGAGTTATAGACTCCTTAAATCATAACCGATAAGATAAATTCTTAAAAAAGGCAATAGGAGTCAACCTTTAGTTGTTAAATTTCGAAAAATTTTATTACATAAAAAATATTATATAACCTCGTACGTTTCGACTCCTGTTTGAGTCATCTTCAGCAATTCAACTTAACAGGTACAGCAAAAATAAATCGCAGTCAGTGTCTTCATACTCTCAATTGTCAATGTGTGCGATTACCAGAAAATTCGTGAGGCCATAAGCAGGTTGTCCAACACAGTTACTTGGCTGAGTAGCAATAAAACTCAGGCTAAAATTATTTAAACCGTGAAGAGAATTAAAAAGAAAAGAACAACAGAAATCATTAACTCACCTCACGAATTCAAGCATCTCGCAAACAACCGAATTTATGTAACAAAATATTTAACAGCAAAGAACATCCCATCTTTGAATTTTAATTTCTCAATTGAAATAGAGGCAAATTAATCTTACATCCACACAGCGAAACGCTCCAACACAATATGAAACGTGCACATATGTATAGCGGTCAAACAACAAAACATCTAAACTTTATTCAGAATCTCCATGTAAGCGTTACTTAAGGCTAGAATATCCGTTTTCAAATTTAAACCATTAGCCTGTCTATTAGTAATATTTCCGATATTATATGCTTATTATAAAAACCTTCCACATCCCCAGAATCTTAACATTCTCCCAATCAAAGTCATGACCATAATTCAACCTATATTCCGTAATAACCGAATAAGAAGAAGTTGCTCTATTAATATTTTTCTTGTGTTCTAATAATCTAGTTTTTAATTTTCTGCCTGTCTGACCCACATAGGATGCATCACAATCAGAATAATTGATTTTGTAAACGACATTCCTTTTCATCATTTTATGTAAAGGATCTTTGTGAACTTTTATGTATTGTTTTAATTTATTTAAACTAAAAAAGGAAACTCTATGACAAACGCCATTAACAAAATTCCGAGATTTGTTGAAAATCCCATCTATGAACAGAATGGAAAACCATTTAACTTTCTCTTTTTGTGAGTTATCTCTTGACTTCTTTATCATTGAGTTAAACTTTTTTATTAGTACTTTTATCCTTTCACTCATTGTTTTGAAAATAAAATCCAACGGATAGTCACACTGTGTAGTAAAATTTTAACAATTAAATCTAAATTCTTAGTGTGAAAAAAGTATAATATCGGAAATGTTACATATTAATAAACAGGCTAATGGTTTAAATTTGAAAACGGATATTCTAGCCTTAAGTAACGTTTACATGGAGATTCTGAATAAAGTTTAGATGTTTTGTTGTTTGACCGCTATACATATGTGCACGTTTCATATTGTGTTGGAGCGTTTCGCTGTGTGGATGTAAGATTAATTTGCCTCTATTTCAATTGAGAAATTAAAGTTCAAAGATGGGATGTTCTTTGCTGTTAAATATTTTGTTACATAAATTCGATTGTTTGCGAGATGCTTGAATTCGTGAGGTGAGTTAATGATTTCTGTTGTTCTTTTCTTTTTAATTCTCTTCACGGTTTAAATAATTTTAGCCTGAGTTTTATTGCTACTCAGCCAAGTAACTGTGTTGGACAACCTGCTTATGGCCTCACGAATTTTCTGGTAATCGCACACATTGACAATTGAGAGTATGAAGACACTGACTGCGATTTATTTTTGCTGTACTTGTTAAGTTGAATTGCTGAAGATGACTCAAAAACAGGAGTCGAAACGTACGAGGTTATATAATAATATTTTTGATGTAATAAAATTTCTCGAAATTTAACAACTAGAGATTGATTCCTATTGCCTTTTTTACGAATTTGTTTTATCGGTAAAAAATAAATTGAAAGCTAAAAAGCTGATTAAAAATAAAAAAAATGATTAATTCTGCCATCAAAGTTATACTTTTGTCTGTTTCCGAGAAAACAACACCCTGCCTGTACATGACCCAATCCTGAAGCTGCGGCATTAAATAACATTTTGGTAACTTGGCGAATGTATAACCTTCTGCAGCCATTTTCTTCAATTCGACCTAATATTTTATATATCTATATTCAATATTGGTAGAGGAAAGGTCCCTATTAGAGATACCGAGTTCATTTTGGGTAAATGTTTGAAAAGAAATCTATAGGCAGAATTAAAGAAAATAATAGGTCGTTTTAAAGGGAATTTAATAAGCTTTAAGGGGTAAACCTGTCCAACCGGGGGTAAATAAGGTCCATTTTTGGGAATTTTTTTTGGTTTAATGAATCGTGCAATTAAAAAATGAATTTTAGAACTCTATTAAGCACATAAAAAAGTACAAAAAATAATTTTTTTAGAATTTTATTTATCAAAATGGCGGATCTGCAGCAGCGTGAAGGAGATAATCGAATTGGCACGGTGTTACGCGGCTAGCAGCACAAGTGTCGTAATTTTTAGTCTATAATAAAAAAATAAATTTTTTTATTTTCTTTACTTAAATATCTACAGAAGTATGGAGCTCTTTTTGAAAATATTGATTTTTGACAAAATGGAAATACAAACAAAAAGTTCTATTTTCATCACAAAAAAATCGAGTAAAATCAGCTGTAACTCAAAAAATTTATAACTTATCAAAAAAATCCTACATATTTTTTTTAGAAAATGTGATTTTTTAAATATTGTTAAAATTTGAAGCAAATTGGTTAAAAATTGTTTGAGTTCTATTGCTAGCCAACTTAAAAAATGCTATTTTGGGAAAAACGCGTTTAAAGTGCGACCGGCGTCGTCTCAACAGCTATACCGATGATTATACTAATATATTTGAATGTAGTATCTCGCCATCTGTGTTATAATAGGAAAGCTCAGAATCGTCGCAGACAAAAACGCAGGTAAAAATATTTGGACTCTACGAGCCTTGAACATTTTGACGTACCGAGCGGGCGGTCCGTCCGGTCAGCAGTACTGTGAAGCACTTGACGCGGGAGCCTATAACTTTCGAAAAAAATTATCGCAAAAAAACCATTTGCACTTCATTTTTGAGACTCTAAAGTGTATTTCAAAAGGAAAAAAAAATTATCGATTTTTTGAAAATTTACATAGGTGTTACCCCTTAAAATAATGTTATGTAAAATTTAATTCAAATTCTATTTTTTTTTAAATTAAAGAAATGTAAAAAGTGATCAAATTCAAAAAATCGCGAAGTAAAAAAATTATGCTTTTAATACGAGATGCCCCGAGAAATTGATAATAAAAGGAGAAATACATCAGTATTGCAATTAAAAAAATTTATTTAATGTTCCTAAAATACACACAAACAGACAGTGCGCGCGCAAAATGAGCATACGATGAATTGTATGCTCATTTTGCGCGCTCATTCTACACTGTTAGAAATGTTCTTAAATTTCATTAACTTTTAAGTTACACAATTCGAACTTAATTTCATGACATTACATTAAACCATAATAGTAATAAGGCTCAATAAAATTAAAAAACCAAAAGAAAACGGGCTACGAGCCTAAACATTCATCGTTATAAATTAAAAATTTTGAACAGTAAAAGAATAAAACATGTCATTTAGTTATAATATAAAACTTTAATTTGTCGGCAATAAACAATAAAACAAACAACAAAACAAACGTTTCGATCCCTGTTGGATCATTATCAATTTTAAAGTACGAAAATAAAACAGTGGAAATATTACCAAGTTAAGATATATAAAAATTACATTTCGGTCTCAATCGCAAACATTAATATAATAAAACTTAACAATTATTAATATAATCAACCTCACTCAGTATGAAGTGAAAATTATAATTGTAATTTTTATATATCTTAACTTGGTAATATTTCCACTGTTTTATTTTCGTACTTTACCATAACATTGATAATGATCCAACAGGGATCGAAACGTTAGTTTTATTGTTTGTTTTATTGTTTATTGTCGGCAAATTAAAGTTTTATATTATAACTAAATGACGTGTTTTATTCTTTTACTGTTCAAAAATTTTAATTTGTAACGACGAATTTTTAGACTCGTAGCCCTTTTCCTTTCGGTTTTTTAACATTATATTAAATTTAATACATTTATAATTAAAAAGCATATTTGTGTACATGTACATAAAATTTAATGTATTTTTCATGAAAATTTATGAAATTTAATATACTTTTCATAAAATTTTATGAAAAGTACATTAACCTTTCGTTGACATACTGGGTGTGAACCACCCACAAAATTATTTTAACTCTCTGAAACTCAATTTTCTTTTATTTTGTAGAACAAAAATACAATGTTTATAAAAAAATCTTTGTTTTTTCAATTCCCAAAATAGTCTACATTCAATACGCAAAATAAATACCCTTTATCCAAAACCAACTTACGAACTAATTTTTTTTCAAAATATTATATTTGAACAACAATTCTGTAAATTTTTAACTTTTAATATTGAATTTTTTAATAGTTAAAATTTTTCAAAGATTTTACTTGTTTTCTCTCTATTCATTGAAGAATATTCTTTATTTACTCAAGAATTTTTTTCGTAAAAACTGTAATGAAATTTTAATCAAAAACTATTTGAATGTATTCTACAGACCTTGAAATTGACCCATAATTTTTTTCATATTGATTGGATTTTAAAAATAAGAATGTCAGTTGTTTAAACATTGCTCTGTGTGGGTGTGAGTCACCCAGTGTGCCAAAAAGCGAACGAAAAAAGAGGTGTGTCAACGAAGAATTAAATTTCATTAATTTAATGTACATACACGTTCATTACATTTAAGTAACTACTGTAACTTAATTTTCAGTTAAATCATTCATTACTTTTAATTTCGTTCATAACCACAAGCTTTATTTATATGTGAAGGAAGCTCGTAGTTACATTTCTAACAGTGTAGGACTCGTCTTCAGGTATTTGGAACTAAGCATCGCAGAAATAGACATTCGATGTTTATTCCGGTTGTCTTTTTTATTATTGCAAAATAACATTTATATTTTAGCAATGATTTTCACTATGACATAAGAGCATAGATTATTTCATATTAGAAATATCCTGAGTATCTCATATTACGATTTCCTTACGCCTTATGATTTTATGATCATTGTCACGTCCGGGGCGCGTGAGTGCGAATGCCCCTCGGACGCGGCGTGGGCTCGTCCGATGACGGCTCGGCGTGATTCTCGCCCCGAGCGGCAAGGGCGGTAATTGCGGTTACGGAGGTTAAGAGGGAGGTCGACGGTCACAAAATGATTACATGAAAACCGCTGGTTCTCAGGGTTTAAGACGTGCGTTTATTGAAGATTTTCCATAAGAAGTCGCGCGTGGAAAGGAATTGTCCGGTGACGGACGCGATCTCTAGGACTGTAGGCACCGGTCTCGCGGGTAGAGGCGGTGGTGGCGGCGGATCCTGGCAGTTGCCAGGCACGGGATGGTAAAATCCCGGCGGCTGAACGATGCGCGGGTCGGCGAATTCACGCGGGTCAAATTCCTCTCGCCAATAGTACTCCCGCTGCATGCGCTTGAGAGCCTTGTCGCGACCGGCGCGATTTCCTTTCGGCATCTACAATCAAGGGCGCGGTGAGTCTAATGGTGCTTCGAGGAGTGTCGGGCGAGATAGTATAAGTGATTGTGGAAATCTTAATTTCTATAACGACAGGCGGTTAGAAATAGGGTGAGCGGCAGGGGGTCCTGAAGGGGGCTCTTGCTCTCCGCTCGGAAGACTGCCAGGGCTCTGTTTTGAGCGACTGGAGGCCTGGGTTAGGACGCCCTGGAGGCCCTGAGAGGGGCTTCCTAGAACGGAGTTCAGGGAATGAGATTTTAAAGGGATGCCTCGGCGGCCCTGAGAGGGGCTTCCTAGGCTCGATTGTAAGGCCACTGTCGCCCCGGAGGATAGGGAGCCTGGCGCGGTTCTCATGCGCCACGACGCGCGAGGCTTCCTGCTCCAGATTAATAAAATTTTAACGACGATCGGACGACACAGACGACACTTCGAGCCGCTTCGGTTATTCGCGGGAGGAGGGAAAGTAATAACAAAAAAAAAAGAAATAGAAGACTATAGAAGTTTATTTGCTCATTATTTCACGTTTGCGAGTCATTACCTCGGGGTTCCGAAAAATTATTATTTACAAAAAAAAAGGAAAGAAAGTGCGATTGAGGCGGAAGTGCCACGTGTAGCTTACTGTGCGGCGCGGTGTTACTCGGCTATCCTTTAAATCGCCCGGTATGGAGGATGGTCCTCGGGAACTTTGCAGATAAGCGC